CTCAATCATTATTATTAATACCTTTGTTGTTATCAATTTAACAATCAATTCTATTATTATTAGATATGATTTGTAATCTATTATCTCAACAGTACAAATGGAAATGTAAAATAGTACCCTTATAATACCTCTTTACCATATAGTATTTAATTGAGATATAGTATTTGAACTGTATTTCTAATTAGCTATAATATACACATTTTTAGTATAATAAAAGTATTGTTCGCGCTTTATATATTATCAAAATATTGTTTACGAGTACTTATAGTATTTCTATAGTTACATTCTATAGGCCCTAAAACCATAAGCTTAAATCCCTGCAGCTAGTCTTTGTAAGTACTATAATATAAATCTAAAAGAAGAAAAAAAAATCTAACAGATCTGTAGTGTTAAATACTTAATAATCTACTAAAATGAAATTAAACTAAAAAAAACTATTATTCAAAAAAAAAAATTTACAGAATTGAATGTAGCTTGATCACTCATTAGCTTTTATGTTATATTATTGTTTATTATAGATACAATAAATTTTATAATCTCGAAATCATTATATAAATATAATTTTATAAATATATAACTCACAAAATTCAAATAATTTAAATTATATATATCAATTTCTGAAATTATAATATAAATCGATTGCTAGAAATATAAAACTAACATAAAATAAAATATGATTTTTCTCACTTTTTTTTTATCAATATTATAGAATTTATTATATCATTATTATATTACATGATTGAATAAATCTCAATTTTGGTATCATTTGAGTGAAAGCTTTTTTTTTTTCTAAATCTCTGATTGAATATATAGTATGAGTATTATAAAAAGATTCGAATATAATACTAGTATTATATAAGGATTTGAATATAATATTAGTATTATTTAGGGATTCGAGTATCAACTAAAGATCTGAATATTATTGATGTTTTCGAGTATTATAGAAATATTGCTTTATTGATATGAATATTATTCAGAGGTTTTAGTATTATAGAAATGTTATTCTTCAGTATTAATATCTACTATATTATATCCCCGCTTGTTCTATTAGAATACCTTCTTAAAAAATATTAATAAAATAAAATAAATCCCCAAAATCAATCATTTTCAATTATGTGTAATTCAACGAAATTGTAGAATTAGTGATATTATATTACTTCTAGTAAATGATATATTCTAATCAATGAGAACTTGATTTATAAAAAAGTTAGAGCATAAATTAATATTATCTTAATGAAATAAGTAGAAATATAATATAATAAAAGTATGATATTAGTATTAATAGAGTAGTACTTTGATAATTCTAGGATTATTGTTATGATTCTTAAATATTTCATGAAATTCTTTAACTCTCATATAATACTAATAAAGATTTATAATATAGTTATTTATAATTCTCTATAATATTAATATAACAAATCTCAAAGTAGTTATAGCGTATAGATCACATACCGGTAGCGCAGCTTATATAACTTATATAACCAATACCTTTAAGTAGTATAGTTTTAGTTTTAATACTAAGTCAGCTTAATAATCTAATACTTTGTATCTGTTAGGGTTGATCCACTTTACCACTAACCCATAAAAGCGTGGAGTATTCCAAATACGTTTGGAACAGTGGATTTACTATATATACTCAGTATCAGATGATCGCTCCCTGATAGTATCAATTAATAGTAATATCTTAATACTTTCTATTCTAAATTAGTTATAGATTATTTTTGTAATAATACCGACTAATATTATTTAATATATTTTGAATTGATTATTTAGATTTATAAATTAACTTATAATATTTCAAAAATTCTGATTATTAATATATCTATATAATTCATGAATATAAAGAATAAAGAAGATGAATTGATTATTTTTATCATTGATAATAATACATTCAATAAAGAATATTCTATTATCAATTATTTCAAAATCGTAATAATTCGAAATGATTAAAAATTAAAGTAATATATAATAATAATAATAATATTGATATAATTTGTCGATAATTTTATTATATTTTCGTTTAAAAGAATCTTAAAATCTAAAATGATATATAATTTGCACTGATTATTTTTCAGTTCTATTTCATATCAAAATTAGAAATATTATATCTAGAATATTAATTAAATTTATAATCGCATTTTTATATTTATTTTCAAAACTAATAATACAATCCTCTTTATAAATATATTCAAGTTAATCTATTATGATTATTTCTTTCGATATAAATTAAATTTCTAAAATTATAAAAATCTATATTAAATAAACTCTTATTATAAAGTTTAGTAATTATAAAATTCTGATTAGATAGTATAACTCTCAAACTCTTTTAAATTATTTAGATCTCTTTTTTAAAATAATAATAAATAATATATAATATTGATTTTTCTTAATTCTTTTTAATTCTTTTTAATTCTTTTAATTCTTCTTAATTCTTCTTAATTCTTACTTAATTCTTCTTAATTCTTCTTAATTCTTCTTAATTCTTCTTAATTCTTCTTAATTCTTCTTAATTCTTCTTAATTCTTCTTAATTCTTATAATTAATTCCTATAATTATTAATTAAATTATCAATTAAATCATTAATTAAATCATTAATTAAATCATTAATTAAATCATTAATTAAATCATTAATTAAATCATTAATTAAATCATTAATTAAACCATTAATTAAATCATTAATTAAATCATTAATTAAATCATTAATTAAATTATCAATTTTATTAGTATTATTACTTATAATCTATTATCCCCTTAACAGAATACAAATAATATTTTAAAACAAATTTTTAAAATCTATTTTCGTAAATTGTTTATAATTCAATATAATTATCAATTTATTAATCAACTATATAGACTTCGACGATATATATATTTCAATTAATAAAATTTTAGTTTATAAAAAGACCTAAATATAAACCAATATTAAATCAATTAATTATAAATCTTTTAAATATAAAATCAATATCGAAATTAAAAGATTATATCCTCCTAAGATATTAACTATAACTTGGAAATATAGTTTGTATACAAGTAATAATATCAATAACTTTATAAATAACATTAAAAATTTGAAAATTAATATAAAGTCTATCTCTAAATCGAGTATCCTATTTTCTAATCATTTCTGTTTTAAGTTACTCTTTATCACCAAAAATCTTAAAAATAATATTTTTAATTTTCTTATTTATAAATTAAATTTATTAAAAATTTGTATATATATATAATTCAGATTGTTTTAAACTTGTTCTAAATTTTGAGATTTTTAGAATATTTCTATATTGAGATTTAAAGATTCAAAATATCGATTTTTTTAATTTATATAAGTATTACGATCACATACTAGAGCATATTATAGAGGTCAAATAACTAGAATAAGAAAGCTAAAGAGGAAAGAGATCCTTAAGGGATCTCTTTATCTCTTATATATTGTATTCTTTTAGAATTTTCAAGGAACGCTAATAAGGAATCTCTAATTAAGCTTTTCGTGGGTTAGGGTTGTAGCAAGCACCGAGGACAATTAATTCGTTCAGTTGATAGATTATTCATCAAATGCTTTGAATTTTAGTTGAACTGTTCTAATTTGAGGCGTTTTACTCCATTTAAAAGGAAGCTAATTAGCTCTAAAAGTAATAACCCTTGCTAGCGTTCCTTGAAAATTCCAAAAGAATACGGTACGTCTAGTTCAAGCTAGTCTTGAACTAGGCTGTGATGAGTCATCATGTATGTCACGTGATATTCGTTACAATAAGAATTATATACAAATTTAAAACTTTTATAAAAACTTTAATAACTTTTTAATATTAATTATTAAAAGAAAACTATATATATTTTTTAAAAGTTTTAAACTTGAATTTATATAGAATTTCTTTTTTTATTAAAAAAAAGAAGATTAATAGATATAGAGATATAGTTTATAGTAAGTTCAAAGGAGTATAAACAATCTTTATTATTTTAGAGGTATTTCTTTAAATATTTATTCATAAGATTTTTTTTTTGAATCTTTTAAGGTAAATATATTATATGTTTATAATAAAAATTTACGATTTATTTTTAATAATTTTAATTATAAAGTTATTAAAGATTTTTTGAAGGGTTTAAATTTATATATGATTTCTATATAAATTTGAAAATCGAGATATTGAAGTTCTAGATCTCAACTTAGAAAAATCCTAAAAATTCTAAAATTTCAGAATAAGCTTAAAATGATTTGAATCATATATATATAAGTTTTTATCAAATTATATTATATATTGATAAAGATGCTAGTAGACTAAAAAAATGATTTTTGATATAAAAGGGTGGCCCAAAACAGGAGTTGCTAGAAAGTAGAGTACTCGATTTATAGAACGGAAAACCCTATGTACCGGAAAAAATAATACGTACTCTGACTTCGAGCATCGCAAAATCTATATGTATCTCAATATCTCCTATATTTTCTTAAAAGTCATATTCTATAACTACTCCCGGGCATTATAAACCCTTCTCATCAAAAAATCGCGATCGCATCGTCGCCCTCACGCCTGATCTGTAAAGGGTCTTAGGGTTTATAGCGTAATAAACTTCCCCCACTATAGCTCTAGTATAGAGCTTATACTAATCCTAATATTTATAAAGGAGTCATTCGAGCTCTTAGGACTCACTACGATATAGAAAATCGTCATTCGTCTCGACGGCTGCTGTAGCGTATAGATTTTATACAAGATCGCTACGCGGATCTGTACCTCGGATTAAAGCGAGTGACGGTGCGTCACATCCAGCTTAGGGATGACCTCAATGCCATTGGTATACTTTACCTTTTTAATTTCACGTGAGAGCAACAAACTTCTGCTCAAGGATTGATATAGTCCTATAGAACATTCCAGCAATATAGTTCTGGATGGACGATCCAAGCTAATATAACCATTAACGAACCTAAAAGGAGCAGATTCCAACACCTTAATGAATGGTAGCTAAGTTAGGCAAGTTCAAAACCTTCTCAACTAACCACGGTACTGCCTCCCTCAAACCTTAGATAGTTTCTCTACAAGCTCCTTCCACAGCCCTGTGTCAACAACATCCATAGTAATATCATCATAAACTGCAAATCTTGACAGCTCGTTCTTAAGGTCGTCGATCTCTTCCTCTCCCCATTTGATAATTCTGAATCCACGCGCACAATACTTTTCAGGTGCCATCTTTGTAATACAAGCATCTCCATAGATCCCGCGACCGTGCTTCGACATCGGTAGATCATATACGTCATAGCTCTTAAAGCCATAATAAAATCCGTTCAAAGCTGGGACAACATGGTTCGTGATGTCAATTCGTGCTATGTCTCGGCAACTCCAGCCAAAATCATTTTTCCAGTATGGCCTCATATCAGGTACGTAGTGAAGAAAGCGGTCGATTCTGCCATCATTTCGTACGTTAACGGTTCCGAGGCGTTCTATTCTTGGGGGTGCGCCATTGGCTGGAATAATCAAGACAGTCACTGTTGGACCAGATGGTGGAAAGAGCGGGGGTGCGGCAGTTGAGAAAAAAGATGTTATAAACTCAAACATCCTGTCGTTGAAAAATTTCAATGCGGTTGGTATGCGGACCTCAGAACGATTTCCAATACTGCTGTCGGCCGGTAACCTGACGCCAGTGAAGGTGACGGGTTGAGGATATAGCTCTTCCTTCTAGCTAAGGAAGGACCAGGATTGAAGTGAATGTTGTTAAAGTGGAGTATAGAATAGCAATCCACGTTGAGAGTTCACTCGACATTTGAGTTAGGGGATAGCGCGAACCCCACACAAGACAGGTGGCATCTTCCCGACCATTTGTCACGTGCCGCAAGTATTATTATTATTCCGTTATCGTAGGCATAATTTCATTGTGTACCTGCCGCCGATTTTCGACATATTAGCAAATGTTTAGGTGGAGGGTACTCCGTAAATTCACATGCCAAGTATGCTAATACAGGGTTTAATACGTAATGATACTAGCCCACATTGAGAGTTCGGAGTCACTGTATCAAAAGTCGCATTCAAGCCAGCATCGACTCTATCGAGCTTCGTTCAAATAAGTCATCCTATCGATGAATGAAGATAGTACTACTTATCAGCTAATCATCCTCATGGCCAACCACCCTAGGGTGTTGGTAGCACTAACTCCGACATATAGCAACTCCGACACAATCGATTTTTTCAAAAATTAATATCAATTCAATTAAATATTATATAATAATAATAAGTTTTTTATAAAATTATAACTCTTGATTGCCTCTTTAATTTATACTAAAGTTTTTTATTTTAAATATTATTAGCTTATTATTATTCTTGTCAGGGAGCGACCACCTGATAGGGTGTATATAGTAGATCTACTGTTCCAAATGTATTCGGAATACTTTACGCTTTTGTAGGTTAGTAGTAAAGTAGATCAACCCTAACAATTCTAAGATTGATATTTTAAATAACCTAATAAATCTTTTTAATTAAGAAAAGTAATATTTTTATATAATCAATTATATAAACTATTAATAAACTAATAATTTCGAATCTAAAGCTAATAATATGATTTCTAAATTCGATTCTCAAAAACTTTATAATTAGAAACGATATAATAAAAAGGAAATCTAATAACTATATTAAAGCAACCTTAAAAATCATTTTTATATATTCAGATATGAAATTAATTATATAATTGAATTGATATTAATTTTTGAAAAAATCGATCGTATCGGAGGGTGGTTGGCAGAATTTTTCTAATAGCCGACAAGTAGAGACCTAAGGGCCCGTTCGGTTTTTTTTTTTTTTTTTTTTTTTTTTTTTTTTTTTTTTGCTAAAATGAATCTAGAAGAAATGTTGATTAATCTTTTAATCTAAATTTTGTAGATTCAAATTTAATTTTGTACTTTATAAAATATAGAGTTATTACATTTTAATAAATATTAATTAAAGTTTAATTATAAATTTAGTAAAGTCATTATACAAATTTTCAAATTTTATTAACCTATATTTTATAGCTTTTTGTAGTTATATATTGTGTTTAATAAACTTATTATATTAATAACAAAATTCAAAATAATTTTATATATTATATTAGTATTCGGTAAACGCTTATTTGGGCTACATTTGTTATCAACATCATCTAAAAAATCGATCTGAACGGGCCCTAAGATCTCAGAGCGTACCCTTGAAGAAGAACAGCTACTTAGGATCTCTGGTCAGTACATCAATGAAGTCAGGCAGCGGAAGCAGCAGTCCTAACGTAACGAAGATGTTTCAAGTACCATCCATTCACACAGTTCTGCCTACAGAGAGTAAATACAAAGTCGAACTTCTGGCTGCACCTACACGAGACGGTAGTGCACCGCGCAGACGTATAGTACGGACATACACACATGGCTAGGATGTCACGAGCTGGCGAGAGAGTGGAGATTTGAAATAGTACTACGTCGGGAAATAAGCAAGCCGCTGTGGTGTAGACTTCTCAGACGAAACATACTTTCGTCTTGTTCGTGAGATCGTTACGTTTTGCTAGCGTAACCCACTCGTAGCAGGCACGATGTTTCCCGCTCACAGCGCTATCAACTAGCAGAAGGTGGAACTCCTCAAAACACAGCTACTAATAATTGATTTCAGAGATTTGAGTAAAGAGTCTAGCCTCAACACAAATACTGCTTACTAAGAACTTGCAAGCTAACCATAACTCCTTCTATTACATCAAGAATACTATGTACATCAATTATATCAAATATATAATACTTTTCCTGCCTTCAAAACCCAAATCAAAACTAAAGGAAATGAGAAGCGATTCTCTATTCTTTTGTGTAACAATCTTATATCATCCGCGCCATTTTTGGCTCTAGCTCTGCTTCTGGCTCTGCTGGCTCTGTTGCTTCTGGATCGTCTGCAGAACTTTTACGCTTCCGATCGCGTTTTACCTTGCCCTTGATGACCTCCTTTGTAGCACGCGTTGCTCGCGCCACCTCGATGTCCTCAAAGCTCATTACTTTCGCCTTCCCGAGTACGACTGACCTAGTTGATCGGCGAGCCTTAGCTTCGTTGTTCATTCTAGTCAGCATCTGAATTTGATCATGGAGGACGGCACGTTCGGCAAAGGAAATCTAGGCGGCATGGGTGAGCTTCTCCACATGCCTCTCTAGGCGCTGTATACTCGTCTCATTCAATGTATGAGCATCCCGTTTGATCAGATTCTGTAGCGACGCCAGACCTTCTGCTGACACTGGCGTCACAGGTGGCGGTGGTACGTCGTCTTGATGACACGCATCTACCTGTATCTCATCGGCCCTCGAAACAGTTGATAGAGCAGGGGGCTGAGGTGTCACCGTGAGAACTCTGTCTGGGTTGAACGGAAACAAACCACAGGCCGCCTATCCAGCCGTTATATTTCTGTTCGTGGGAAAAGAGATAATAATAATCAAGAGAAAACCATTTTATGTTCTCGATTATTTGTATTGTTAATTAATCGCATGTATTTAAATGTAAAAGAGAAATAAAAACTTCGATGATTTCGATTAATGTAGTCTATGTGTGTGATTTTGTCTTAAAAACAGCAACAAAATCAATCGAGCAAACATCAAGTTGAATTCATACCCAGACTATGAATACAATACTTGATCAATCTTTCCCTCTCCAAGTCTATTCGATATGATTTGAACAATGATACAGCTTTCAAACCTATTCAGCTGATCTCCACCCTTTTCTCCTCTCGGCTATCTTTTTCCTGTTTACAAGGCCAAAACAGATTTTCCGGTGCCGTATTCCAGATCAAAAACTGGCATTGAAGTCAACGGTGTCTGCAGGCCCAAACCAGATGGACAGACAGGGAGGTTGCTTGTCTTCAAGTCTAATGTGCATTCTTCATCTACCCCGAGTGTACAGGAACTTGTTGCAATGTTCCACAGTCCGTTATTCTGTGAAATCCAATTTGACCCTGCAAGTGTGCAGTTTGAAATGTAATTCATCGAATTTGCGGCGGAGAATGGTAATTTCTGATCTGGAGACAAAATCAGATCCGAGCAAGCCGACATGGGCTGCGTGACATATGTAGCGGATATACTGCCTCCTTGTTCCGGATTTACTGTAGCAGACTGTCCTGTGTAAAGGTAATTCCACGCATCATAAGATATATCATGTGCTCCACCCGAATGGTCGATATGAAGCAAGTTGACGGACCGTCCGCCGTAAGATACCTGCACGCATATACTAGCACCGCAATCAGGCCATGTAGGCCAGTATGCAACTGTTAAAGATCGGAAGTTAATATTGTTAAGTGAGGATTTGGTTTCTTGGTTGTTTACATACCACGGTTAGTGTTAATCATACAGCCAAGAACTCCGATTGAGCTGCTAAAGAATGGATGGGGAGTTATAGCAACGGGTATCCCTGCTACTGGGTCTGCTGCTACAATAGAAGAGTTGGCTGGAACGACAACTGCTGATACAGCGCTCGCAAGTACGAGAAGAGAGGTGAGATAATATCCCATCGTTAGAGACTGATAAGAGAAAGGTGGTAATTCTGTTTAATATTTCAAAAGACGACAGCAAATGCTGTATTCTTGTAAGATGAAGAAGATATTTGCTTAAAACGAGTGACTATGAAAAGAAGAACATAAAAGAATGACTAAAATGAAACTCGCAGTGCAGCAAGTAATGAAAACAGTTGTAAGTGTTATATTTCAAATGATGGGAAGGGCAGAAACGAAACATTAAGTAAGTAAGGGAGGTGCACCAATGACTGAACGATATATCTACCAAGTTTATGATCCCATGAATGGAGGCGTAGCAAGACATTCGGTGTCCTTCACACCAGGTAGATTCTAATTGTAGGTCAGATGTGGGAGGTTGCTATCTATGAAAAAAATCCTGTTGTGGCATCTTTCGCAGTTCGACTAATGAAACGGGCGAGGAGTGTCATGAGGAGTGTCCTGAGGATTGATTACTAGACCAAGGACCTTTAAGAGGAGGATTATACAAGGTTTCCCTCCCCCCCCCATCCTGTAATACAACTGTTCTATAATTGATTACCTCTGAGTTCCCTTTACCGCAAAGGCAAACTTACTGAATATGGCGCAAGCTGCATAATGGTGCTTGGATTGTCTTTGGATTGTCTATAATGATCAATGATTATCGATGTTCTTAAAGCAGTCATAATCTAACATTTGAAGACCCACTAAGATGTGGTCTATTTAAAATTAGCCAAAAGGATGATGAAATAATACAGGGTGTATTATCTTCATCGCCTGATTGTTGTCGGACTGTGAAGGATGAGGCTTAGCGAAGGATCGGCTGAATATTTAAAGAGTACAGTCAGAGCAACCTTCCTGCCTAGCAGTCAATTACTACGAATAGTGCGACACAAAAGAATAAATACCGATACCTTTAACGATACCGATAAATATGCAGAGATATCTACCTTAAATAAGTAACGGCTCTAAGCGTGCTCATGCACCGGCACACATTGAATGCATACAATCCTCGTTGTGCCCTCAAACATTTGTTGGTAGAATGTTCAGATAGGTATACAAGCACTTTATTGCTGCGGATCATGTATAAAGCTGAAATTCACCATCCATTTCACCTCTAGCTTGGAAAAGTTTGTTTTCATTGACTAATAGTCGGCTCTCATAAGCGGCCGACTAGTTCCTAATCGGGGAAAGCAAATATTCTCGGAAAGCAAATTGTCCCTGTGAGATTTTGATACTAGATTTATAATTTTTATTGAAAAATTTCTGAATTTTATAAATAATATTATGAATTTTAAAATAATTCAAAAAAATCTAATATTATTAGAAAGCTATAATCTTATTAAATATAATTATATAAAAAGTTCAAACATTATTCAAAAATTGAAGATTGTATATTAAAAATAAATTAGATTTTTAATAAAATTAATTGATTTTGATATATTTTGTATTTAAAATTTTATAGGGATAATTTGCTTTTTAGGAATATTTGCTTTTCCTGATTAGAAATTAGTCGGCTGCTTATGAGAGTCGATTATTAGTATTTATTGAAACAGTTATACTACAGCGATCAATATATTTTTAGTCGTTTATTGAATATTTAATGATATACTGGACCTCGACCCTTTTGTCGAGACAACCTTTGAAGGATAGGAATTTGAAGCTTCACATAATTACAACTTTAATGATAGTGAAGTTACCCGAGTTGTGATTGATCCTTAGATTCGGTCATTTTATCTACAGGAAAGTGTGTAATTAAATCCCAGTATTATGCCGCAGCGAAGCAGGGCTATACTCCCAGTCAATATATGCAAAATCGTATGCTTTCATATCTATGATTTATAGCATTGGCTTAAGATCTTCTGCAACTGTAAAAGGTGCATCTGTCTTGCTCTTGACCTCTTCCACTGTCACCCCATCTGCAATCTCAATCAAGGTAAGTCCTTTTGTAAAGTCGACGTCAAATACCCCCTACAAATTTGTTAGCACTCTTTGTTCTTTGCCTTCCATTACCAGCCGCCAGGTGATCGCTTGATCATCAGCGCGGATAATAGGCTACTCACCAGTTCAGTAATAATCCTCGAGACGCAAGCCTTTCCCGTGAGAGGAAACTCGCATTGTTTAACAATCTTTGAATTTCCTTTCTTATCACAGTGCTCCATTGTTACAACAACCTTCGTCATTGAAGGGTTGCTAACTAAATCCATGGCCCCTCCAAAGCCCTTAATCTTCCCGGGTAACATCCAATTGGCAAGATCACCGTTCCCGCTTACTTGCATAGCTCCCAATATGGTCAAATTTACTCTTCCAGATCGAATCATACCAAAGCTCTCCTCGCTACCAAAAACTGCAGCACCGGGGTTTAGTGTCACTGTCTCTTTGCCAGCATTGATGAGATCCGCATCCTCAAACCCCTTTTGAGGATAGGGACCCAACCCTAAGATACCATTCTCCGATTGTAGTTGTACTTCGACTTCTGGACCAACAAACGATGGCGCAAGCATAGGCATTCCTATGCCGAGATTGGCATACATACCATTTTTGAATTCTTTGGCGGCGCGCCTAACGATTCTCTCTCGCTTGGCAGCGGTATCACCACTACCTAGCGCACTCTTTGTCGCTGGATCATTTGGATCTTTTGCAAAGGTGAATTTTTCGATATTCTTGGACGTTGTAGATTGAATAACTCTCTTGACGTAAATTCCCGGGAGATGTACAGCTTCCGGTGGGATGTCTCCTGGCTCTACAATACTCTCTGCCTCCACGATTGTCATCTTCGCGTTTCTTCCCATTGCACCATTGAAATTGTTGGCTGCTAACCGGAACTGACAATTTCCAAGTTTATCCGCTTTCCAGGCTTTCACGAAAGCGTAGTCACCTCGAATACTCTCTTCCAGAAGATAAGGTTTGCCGTGAAAGATTTTTACATCTTTTGGATAAGAAAGCTCCTTTGGTGTACCATCGGGATTATTACGAAGTGGAAGCTCGCCGGTTTGTACAACCGTTCCGAATGCAGCAGGGGTGTAGAAAGCAGGTATACCTTTACCACCCGAAGCACATCTTTCGGCCAACGTTCCTTGTGGTGTCAATTCCAACTCGACTTCACCAGTCAGGTACATCTTCTCAAAAGTTTTGTTCTCTCCGATATAACTGGCAACCATTTTTTTGATCTGCTTCGTCTTCAACAATTTCCCCAGGCCTGATTCATCTGTACCGGCATTATTTGAAACTGCAGTAAGGCCTTTGAGATCTGGTCTGTTAACGACTTCGTCAATGAGGGTATCTGGAACACCACAGAGGCCGAAGCCTCCGCATAAAACTGTACTGTCCGGCTTCATATCTTTGAGAGCCTCGGAGGCCGAAGGAAATACTTTGTTTATTTCATTGCGGCGGGTGGTCGATGCAAATGTGCGAGCGAGTAATATTGATTGCTAGAACCTCAATTAGAGAAAGATATGTATGGATCAGATTGTGACGGCAGACTACCTTTCTGCTAGTCCTAACATAAGCTCTCGCCGTTCTTAAACACAAATTGTTAGGCATGTTTGCCTTATGGGGACCTAATGAACTGAAGAGCTAAAGAATTGCACCGCCTGTATATTCATCCAAGGGATATGCCGATTTCTATCGTGTCAATGGAACTAAACTGTAGCAAAATAAAGAGCGGCAGCACAAGGAACAACAAATTCAATTTATTGATTCAAATCGCAAATCACGAAGCTGTTTTATGAGAAACGATAAGTGAGATAATTCTCCAGATTTATTATTGATAATGCGGATTGTTCATTCCGGAATCCGGGGTAAGAACATAACCCTATGCAAACCGAAAGGAGGGGCCGTTGGAGCGGAAAAGATTCATCGGAATTATTCCGAAGTTACAAGTCACGGTGAGTGCCAGCGACAGTCACGTGGTTTACACACAACCACAACAACTGGTGAGCCTCACTATCTCACTCCATTTCCACAAATATGTTGCTGTCTTTGTTAATGAGAACCCTGGTGTTATTTTCCATGATGGATGAAAATTTAAACCATCTCTTCTTAATCTGCTCTTTTATTCTTTGAGCTGATATCTCAATCTCAATCTCAAGGCCTACAAATATCTGGGTATTATTGGCTATGGCGTCTCTACAGTTGGACTGGCTCGGCAGCAGACTCTATTTAAGCGGTAAATTTACAGACAACTGATCGTCATTTTGACGTTTTGAAGAGGGCATTTACATTTTATGCCACCAATTTCTTTCTCGATCGTGGCTAAATGAATCGATTATAGGGTATATTAGGCCGAATACATATCCTAGTGGAACCGAACCTACATAAGGTTTGAAGGAAAGTTGCGAAGTAGAATATGTTCCAGTGAGACTGTTTGGCATCTTTCTAGAATTAGTATATGGATTGGTAAAGATGGATAACTGATTCAACGAGGGAGTGGAAGGTAATGGGGAAAAGGGCTAGATTGAGGGCCGGGTTGTGACAAACTGAACTGAGGGTAGTTACAGAAACTGTCTGTGACGCGAAAAGGAGATGATGACTTGAGAGTTTCATAGCAACCTCAGGGATAGAGAAAGAACCAGACTCGTCCGTAATATCTCGATTGATTCATATCAGCTATTTATTACGTTTTCCCAACATCTTTCATGTAGTAGCACTCATGCCCTTCCATGAGGATGAGAATGTTTATTACAAGGATGATAAGTTATAGAATGTTCAAAAAATTGATAGGATTTAGGATATGACAGGAGAAGATGGGAATGTGAGATTTGAAACGCTGAAACTTCTGCTTTGAATATGACTCCGTGACCATAGCATCACATACTAACTACATTCATGGCTTGCTTGCTTCGCTAGTTTTACCCTTATGATGACATAGCGCCCCTAGATGTAATAGTCTCGCCCACCTTCACTTTCTTTCTTGGATCTATTTCAATATTGAAGCGGTACAAAAGCGAAAACGCAAGCATCAAGATTACACGGGAGCCAAAAATCTCTCGGACGATATTTCGAGCCGCCGGTGAAAAGATGACAGCAGATTATCTTCGCGAGTGATATGTTGACCAAGAAAGCGCTTTGGATTAAACCGATCAGCATTTTCGACAAGTGACTAAGCCTCGGTATGTATATACAGGATTTGAATCAACAATTTCCTGTCGGGTCGAAGCACCCTACACATGGTAACCTCGCTCCTCACTCACACGCACCGATGGAGAAATTTTTATGGGGATAATCTCGTTGTAGGAATGATTTGATAGAAAAGAACGAGTGAGGATATAAGTGATACTAATCCCATGGTTCGGTTGTAATGTTGGGTTAGTCTTGGTAACAATCGTATCAAGACAAGATCGGTCTTACCCGTGGCGAATAAGACACCAGAAACAGGTTCTGTAAGCATTCGTGTTGATCCGACACATGGTTATAGCGTGACGTAACATGTCGGCCAGCAGCTTATGATCAGTGTACTATGAATCTCATCGACCATAGAGAGCTTCAGCAGTTATCGTAATTACCAAAGAAGCCCAGCAGTATATATGTACCCAATGATCCTTTGGACATCGATTATGCCAGGAAGATACATCATGGTATTTGATTTCAGATCATATGTGCAGTAGAGATCTTGCGTGTTGTCCCAGGCAGATTGCAACGGTGTCAAGTTTTTGGTCCTTTGGAACATGTCATTATCTTTGTGGGGCGCAATGTTTTTGAATGCAACGGTGAGCAAGCCATTTGATTGACAGACCTGGTCTTAGTCTCTAAAACGGAAAGGTGATCATGCGAAAAACCACATCTGGTGCAAACGGCGGTTAGTGGGAGGGGCATGGGGGCAAGATCAAATGGAGATGAAGAACAGTACAAGATCAGTTGTGATTAGCCGGCCGTGTAAGATAATCTGTAGTGCTGAACGTGCTTCCATATAAAGACAACTTGAGCCGCCGCAAATTTTTGAAATTGATGCCTCCAACCGTTCGAATCACTCAGACATCCATTGTTTCCGAAGCTTTTGATTGGTGGTTTCGTCATACATGTGACGTTACTTTTAAGTTTAAGCGAAATCTTTCGAATCACTGGCGACGACTTTTTAAGGGGCAAAGGACGCGCGGGGAAAAAGATAAACGGGCCGTTGAAGAGCTGAAATATATTATATATACGTATTGGCACCGCGTCATAAATAAAATCAATCCGAAACAAGACCACTCTGTCCATACGATTTCACTAAAGAGATCATCGTCACTCTTATCTATTGTCCCACTTCTTCACTCAATCACTGACTTAGTTTTCCAGACACCACAAGTGAAAACTATGTCTCAAATTCATTCGGAGTATCCTCATAGGGTATTGCTATCGTTGGTGGTTGTATCACTGGAATGACTTTAGCTTTGGGTCTTGGTAATTGAGGCATCTCTTGCAAAATACATGAGCGAAGCCACATCTTTTCCAAGATTGTTGTTGGTGTTGGTGTTGCATTTGCTTCGAACTCTGTTTGAGATATGGAAGCACGCGATCTCAGTGAGTCTATTGCATTCAAAGCCGTCGCAACACATGGCCTCTGTAAATCAAACTGTGCTAACATGTTCGAAGGAAGCAAAGCATTGTACTTTGTTTTCTTGGATGGCTATCACGACAATGGCAGCGAGCCTTCCAAGGTTCTGTTCTCACTCTACAGTTGGGAATACTCTAATAGTGTACGATATATAGTGCTCTTTTTCTTTTCTTTTTTGAATAAACTGGTTAGGTTCATACCCGAGGACATTCCCGGATTCTGCAAGAGGGTAGCAGATGAGAGCGATGATCAAGGTCTGGTCATTCTTTATTTCGCAGATTGCACAACAGTGACAGCAGAAGCGGTGATGGGAGCGGATGGCGTCAAGAGCCATGTTCGACCACCTATATTGGGGCTTGGAAATCATGAAAGTCATGCATGCTACATTTACAAGTGCATCTATCGCGGTCGCAGAACGATAGAAAATGCGATAGCTGAATTGGGTGAGGACATGGCCACGAATACTGAGATGCACCTCGGACTAGACGGTCACGTTATAACTCTCCCTGTTGACGAGGGGAAACTATGAATGTAGTTGCCTTTAGAGGAACTAAAGAAGGCTCGATAGATCCACATAGATCCGCACGTGCGGCGACTGAGCAAGATACAATGAATGAACTTGCTGGTTGGAGCAAGAACGTCACTCCAATTCTTAGCCTGCTCAATGAATATGTTGACAGTTGGGCTATCTTTGATATGCTCGACCACCCTGCGTCTACTTACGCTAAAGAAAAAAAGATTCTGATCGGACATGTAGCACATGCAGCGAGTCCTCATCATGGCTCAGGTGCAGGCTTTGCCATCCAGGACTTCGCCGTACTGGGTAATATTTTTTTGAATCAACGAACGTACGGCACAAGGACAGAAGGAACTCAAGCTATCAATATATCGATATATGGAGAATCCATTGAGTGCATAACCGAAAAAACAAATCAGCTAAATCATCCGCTGGCGCAATAATAAAGAACCATGTTGAGCACTCAAATTATATCTTACTACTACTTGAAAGTCAAACCACCACCGAAGCTGTGCTCACTATTCTCACCGCCCTTTGTAACTTTGCCCGCGGTAACACCGGTCTCAAAGGCACAGCTACCCATATCCAGCTTCTTTGCAGGACCAGAAGGAGAAATATCGAAATCAAAAATATCCATGGGCAAACCAAGAGTCGTACATGCTGGTTTTAGATTGTAAGTGGGCGATCTTGTGGCTTAGAAATTGTCAATTGAACTTACCGTTTGGGATATCTACGATTCCAGCGACGTGACCTTGTACTGGTGCACAGGATAACAAGAGATAGATCTGGTAGTCAGAATACCCAAATCGACGTAGGTATTCGATGCAACGCAAAATAGTCTCGCGGTAGGCGACAGTGACGTCCATGTAGTGCTTTCGTGTTCCATTAGTAAATAAAATCATTACAAAGACTTGCTATACTACTTACCTGCTTTCCATGGTGGTCCACACTGAACCCCTCAAAGGTAAGGTATCTTCCTGGTCCGTAATGGGGCTCGACGGGGCCGGGTAAGTAGAGTGGTGATTTCATACCAAGATCTGCTATACCATTTTTCATTACCTTAAAATTGATGGTGATGACACCGGACATCTCAATGGCACCGCAAAACGAGATTTCACCGTCGCCCTCTGATTTCACAGTTATTACTTTGAATGAATAGATAGACAACAGAAAGGACCACTTACGGGAGAAATGGAGATCTCCAACAGAGAACTTGGCTCCCTTCACATGTACTGGAAGGTACACCTCATCATGTCGTCAGTATTCACTTTCAATCATTTTGCTCCTGGGTAATCTCACCTTGCTTCCTCTGCTCAAATTCTTGATGTCACAGTTTCCGCCATGTTCGGGGCGACCTAACAAATATCAAAATTTGAACAGCAAATTGGGACCACATGTGAACACAATACCCGGGATTGTTCTTGCGCCTTCGCGGCCAACCTTTGTTTTGATGTCCTCAGATGCCGAACCAGCATGCACGTTTTGAGGGTTAGGTGGTTGAGCAACGATCCTGTCCAGCTTGTTGGCAGCTATCAATTCACCCTCTCGTTTGTTCCATGTGGCTAGAACCTGTAATCAATCATCAGAATATAAATATTTTGAAGGGACAGTGTAAAATGAATGGTGAGACGATCGGGATGGTCATAGTCTGACCGAAGTCTGACTTTGAGAACCTTCGACTATAAAAGAGATAATGAGCTCTTTGAATATAGCATGGCATGTTGAGATTGATCTGCCACATCCCAAGTAAATTCAACACGTGTACCAGATTCTAAGACCAGGAAAGTTTTATTTCGAGACTGTGGCCCCGACTATACAAGTCGCTGGATTCAACTCTCTTGCCGAAGTGCTCCTTTGAGAATGGGAGGAAGAGTAAAAATAATAGCTTAGAAACCTACTTCTGCAGATGGTGCACAACCAAGAATACCAGGGTGAATCAATCCAGGAAATTTGACATGGGGAATATGCCGCGATGAGCAATAGATCCCCTCAAAATCCCAAATTGCTTTAGCTCTATATCGCCACTCATTAGTTCTAAAATCCAGAGATCAATCAAATTAAGACATACGCCGATGGGTAAAGTTCATCCAGGAAGCCACCTCCGTTTTCTTTGGCGAAGACACCTAGGCAGTCAACGTCAATATTAAGTCTATGAAAACCGCTTGAACAATTTGTTGCTCACCGGTGCTATATATAATCAGTAATCATGTATATTTGACATGGATTGCAAGTGACTTACAAGCCCCAAGGATGCTCTTGATGTGGCTGTACATCCATTATTTCAACAAGCAATACATCTCCTGGCTCTGCTGTCTCGATTTCAAATGGCCCAGACAAGTAGTGGATCTTGGTAAGATCGACATTTTTTACATCATCTGCACTGTCATCGTTCTCTGAAGCAGCCATGAGTAAATGGTTACGAAGACAATGATGTGGGTCGAAAGCTTACTGATTTGACCTCCAGTCCAGTCAACCTTTAATAATGCGATTAGCCACTATTTTGAAAAAGATCACGATGTAAGGGACACTTACACATTCTATCTTAACGGTTTCACCATTCTTGATGGTGTCAGCGAACGGAATATCTGGATGCCATCTGTTATGAAGCTTCGGTTGACTTTCTGCAGGCTCATCAAGTGAAACTTTGCAGATATTGCGGATTTCTGATCGACCCATTGTATCCTGTGGAGTCGAGTTGCAATAGTTACAGATGGGAAGAAGGAAGTAAGGTGTCGATTACGTTCACAAGTTTGTTGTAAAAAGAGAAGGCCAGACGAAATTTGACGATGTGGTCAAAAGTGAAATGAACAGGGAGAATGCACTATCACTCACTCTTATACTTTAGGTTACCTAGTAGGTAGTCAACCGAAAATGGGATATCACTCCTATCAATTCCTATTAATTCCTAGATACTGATAGATATCCAGGTAGCTGATCAAAGAAGAGACGTAAGAAATGATAAGAAAAAGGACGTTCGGCAGCTCTTATCGCAAATTACAAATTACAAATTACCCCTCCTCTCTCACATGAATCGAACCAATCATCTGTGCAGACCAATCTGAGTGGCACTCGAATTAAGAGAGCATGGGAAGTAGGAGGAATGCGGGGTTCATCGGCTTGGAAAATATGTATGACACTAAGAATTTCAAAAGAAAGGGAATCATTCAACTGTCTCGGGAAGTTCATGATGAATAAAGTGTGCCTGGCATGAGCTTGGAGTTTGGCAATAGAACGTAGCATGATTAATATCTAGTAAGATGCAGTATACAATGTTACACAGATGTTTCTTAGTATCTTACCGACCATCTGCTTGGTAGCCGTAGAACACGGCAAACGTTTCAGTCATGTTGTTCAGATCACTGGGTGATTTTGCATGCTACCAAGCTTGGCCATATACTCTCTATTTATAACATCCATCCATTCATTACCGTGATCTTAACTCGCTGTACGGCGGAGGCACTTCCGTGGCCGATGATGAAGCTTTCTCGCCTGAAACGCCCTGCGTGACTTCATTCCTACTGGATGTGTTCAGAGAATCTAGTTGGTCGAGTTTGAGGTTCAAGAACTCATGCTTGTTCTTCCACTTTTGTTGGCTAGCAGCAAAGTTGTCCTCTTGTCCAACAGGTGGGGGCGGGTCGGTAATTTTGGTAATAAGATATGCCGTGGATGCTTCTGCAATACCATAGACAAGTACACCGAGCAAAGGGATTCGAAGGAATATGTAGAACCCGATACCAAAGCCAAACAAGAGTCCTTCTCGATCATGAAACCAATTCTTCTTCTGCTCCTTGGTAAACTTGATACGAGCGAAGTATGGCTCAAGCTAGACCAGTCAGATACAATTCACATCACGATAACAATTCGAAAACTCACCAGTTCACGCATCAAACTGCGTGACGAGAAGTAACTCTGTAGAAAGATTACGAGATATCTACGAGGCAAAAAGATACCCGTGCCAAACACTATAAGGCCGGGACCAAGTCCTGCAGCTCTAAGGACTGTTAGTATGAAATATATCATATATCGTATTTCGATTGGGTTTCGTACTTATTGAATGTATAGAAACTGGCAGCCGGAAGCACGAATCTTCCCAGGATCGGAACGTAAGATAGAGCATATACTGCCAAAGAGAGCCCCGCCTTCTTTCCAAACTTTATCAAAAACATGGACATGTTCTCGGCTGTGCTTGTTTTATGGGTTGTGCCATCTCTCTTAGGATATCGTCGTAAATTTGGATAATATTCGTCTCTTAATGTGGACCGTTCCTCTCCTTTATGTTTCTCGTAATATGTTTCGTCAACGAACGCGAGGCTCATCATGAACCTGTGAGGGTTAGTAAAGAATCGCAATTCAATGGGATTTGTGCGCTCGCATCGAGATACTCACATGTTGTCAAGGGTTGGTGTGACACGACTTAGTATACTCATGAGAAAGAACGGAACTTGTAAAACATGATTCTGGATAAGATCTAAGCCCTCGACAACCCTGTTGTCGAAAGTAGAGGCTCCTAGGTCTACAACAAATGACATGAGCCATAGGAAGACTCTCACACCGAAAATCTGCTACTTGTTAGCAATCAGCAAAAAGTGCCGAAGTATGGTGAGAAGTCGTACGGGGATCTCGATAGCTAATCGAATTACGACGCCTGCCAGAACCGCGAGAGCAGCCTGCTTGTAATGCTCCGAAGTAAACAATTGCGGATTTCGCAGAGCCCTTAAAGCTACAACGCAGTCAGTCAGCACCGGATTCCAATGTATAACACGGTATTATTGTCGTTGTGCTCATATATGAAACTGACCTCCCACAATTGTCAATTGGGCTCCTCGCAGAATAGCGTTCAAATCGAAATGATCGATAGACAATTTCTCCTTCAATTCATCACGATCTTTGAAAGGCTTCTGCAACCTTTTTGAATCCATATTTGCCTTGCCTATACTTGAGTGGACGATAGTCAAATATTGAAGGTTGAAAGAAGGATGAGAAGAATGTGTAGGTATCAATCAGCCTTCTTATCTCTAGCTATTGGACATGGACCTGTGGGTAGGTAGTAGGAGTATTATTAGTGTAGGAGTAATATTAGTGTAGGAGTATTATTGTAGGAGTATTATTAGTAGTAGTCAGTACGAGTAGTCGTGGTATGTATATTACACAATCTTTTTTTTTTCAATCCCAGTAATACGCTGCACACGACAGCTCAGAGCTCTAAGAAGCTACGAGTACAACATTCCTGGTTCGGCTTATGCGACGTAATCATTTTGACCCCTCATTACGATATCCATTGAATTATCCATTATCCATTACCCATTACCAGTAGGTATCCATTGCCCGTAGGTATGTACGATACTGTAAGTGGAAAAGTAATACGAGCAACGAGCAACGAGCAACGAGCAACGAGCAACGAGCAATGGTCCATATACCGTTTATTGACATCTTTCAGTCTTTCTTCGTAAGGTTAAATGGAGTCCCACTGTATTCTCGAGTGTATCTACTACCAGAGACTCGTCAATGAGACCATTCAAGTATCTTGCACCGGTACATCTGCACCGGTACATTCGCATCGATTGCTTCCACGTTGGCTGAACCTATCAATACCTTACGATCCTCACATCTCAATTGTTGGGGAGCGTTTGAAATTGCTTCGGAACAGCAAGTTGAAGGTCTGGGGCACATCTTACTTCCTGCTAGGTACGGCACGTACGGGCACACAACCTCCCTCGAGAGTCAAGACAAGACAACTAATAATAACTTAACCTTGATCACTCCACTGTCTGATCCCCCACTACAAGCTGCATTCTAGCTACATTATTACTCTACTGTATGCTCCGTGCAATGCGATCCGCCAATGTCCGAACTTAATAAAATCTCCAGGAAATTGAAACAGTGTGAATGTGAATGGGACTTTGACTTAATTGTAAATTCATACCGTACATCCTCCGAAATCATACATGTTGGATAAATACTGACTTTGAGGAATGAGAGTATGAATGTGTTGAAGAGCAACATTGTAAGCGCGCGGTCTCGTCAGCCATAGATGTTCAGTACATATATACCTGCCGCTATCGTATGTATACACACTAAAGTCAGGTACATCTACAAATATAAACTTCCTTGCTTCTTATAACCACCACAATCAATAGTGCCTTCTACTGTCCCGGGCACACACACTCGCACATCTTTAATCTTGATACTCTACTCTACTCTACTCTACTCTACTCTACTCTACTCTACTCTACTCTACTCTACTCTACTCTACTCTACTCTACTCTACTCTACTCTACTCTACTTCACTCGTACACTCTACATTCTTTCTTGAAATTTCATCCAAGAAATAGAATTGCCAGGAAGCAGCCACCTTAGGGTGATACATGGAACTGCCTGTACCGTCTTGAAACTCGCCGAATCTAACTGCGACAGCTTGCGGAACCCAACTCCATATCTCAAATTTGCATTTATTTTCGACGTTCAAAAAATCGCCACTTATCGCGCAAATGTGCAATACCATGATGGTCATCAGACAGGAAATATAAAAAGTAAATCGGCTCAAATTGCCAATGGCTTATTCTTCGTTGTCGGCACGCGCTGTGTCGGTTTCTGATCGATCAATATCGACTCCCGATCCCCAAATCGAGACACTTTATAGTGTCGATGGCGCCCGCATCATATCTTTTTCAATACCGTCGCAACCTTCGTCGCGACCGAGCTCGAGTAATGGACCTGCGAAGGAAAATACGGAAATAGGTTCTTCTCTGAGGTGGTCTTCCCCAGGGGAAAGGACAATCGCCGCTGGTACGCGTTTTGTGGCAATTTTGTGTTCGCTCTAAGAATGAATACTCATGCTGATGTGAGATTTGCAGGCACTTTGCGCATCTATAGAGCTCCCGAATCTGTCGCGTTTTTCAATTGTCAGAAAGCTTTAAAGCCGATATTACCTCGAAGTCAATGCTGGTTTGTTTCGGACGATGGATCTAGCAAATTCGTGTTGCAAGTACGAAGGCTACAGGAGTACTGGCGAATCGAGATAAGCAACACAACTCCCGAAGAAATTAAGCAAGGAGAGGAACTCAAGAAGATACTGGCGCAAGTGTTGTTATATGAAAAGACTCCTTGTCCGTTCCAAAGAACGTTTTCTGTTGATCTGCCGATTGCTCTGCAAATACCTACCACGCAAAAACCGTGGAAGCCAGTACAAAGATCGTCATCTAGAATTCCTTTACCTCGGGGTGACCTTTATCCTATTGCTTTGAAGTCAACCTCGTTGACCTCAAACTCGCCAAAGCTGTCATGCAGAAGAACCCGCTCTTCTTCCCCACTTCAGACTTCTGCATTGCATCGATCCGCGGCTAGCCCCACAGAGACATGCATATCAGACCTGCAATTCCAAGAAGAAACGCCAGAAACGTCTGTAGCCAAATCTACGAATCCAACAGTACACTCTCCAACATACCCACTAAAAACTCGTGCAGTCGAACCTCAACCAACAGAATATGGTGTAGCCTCATCAGAATCTATACTCACCGTCTTGTCCCGTGTAGAGGTTGGTGAAGGTAGTGATAGTGACGAAACGTGCGACACTAATGCTACAGTTAAAGCTCCCGCTCAATCGCCACGTTCCCAATCACTTCCTGGCTCCAGAAGTCCCTCACAAGTGTTACATCACTGTAGTCGATCAATCACGGCCCCCCCTGTCCTCTCTCTAGTCACAAGTCCACCTTCAAAGCGTCGAAACAGGCCTCCAGTGAGCAAAATTGTAGTCGGCGACCCTGATTCAGAGCTCTCATCAAGCGTCGATTCGTTTCACTCTACACAGTCATGGCACTCTCCACTTGATGTACCACCGTCACCCCCCCTGTCCGGTCCACCTTCACCTATCACTTTTCCCTACCCCCACGATAATATTGTCCTTCCAAAGAAAGTACATCCTACGCAAGCAATCTCACAGCTTAATGTAACCCCCGAGACACACGGAGCATGGCACACACCTTCACTCATGAGTACATCTCCTCGAAGTTTGTCACCTGCTCCAAAGACACCGACTTTGGTTAATGATTGCGGCAAGTTTGAAGATGAAGCCTTTGAGGCCATTACTCCTTCACCACCAAGGTTGAGACAACGTGGTACTACAGGTAGCAACTCACGAAGAAGAACACTATCGCCTCTCCCTGCTGCAGTAAACCTGTTTTCTCCACCACCGGGATCACGGCGACTACAAACCGCTCGACATCTTCCAACAGCCATCATCCAAAAGACATGTGAAATTCTTTTGAGTCCTCCAAGTCATTTACTGCAAGTGATGATTAACGTTGCATCTAAAATCGCAGCGGGTGAATGGAGAGGGGTGCTACTCGGTGAGGGAGAGGCTGTACATTGGGATTTCACCGAAGACGAATATCAAGGCGAAAGTTGGACTGAGGATGACTTTGGATTTAGTCTTACTCCCGCGCCTTCAAGACGAAGGGATGTTTCCTCACAATCTAAGAAGGATACGACTTCCAGCGAGAGTTGGGAGGTCGATTAAGCTTCTATTTGTACACCATAAGCCCACCATTTGTGCTACTATGATTTTGTAATTGGCGCTTGGTATAATTTGTATTAAAGAAGATTCACTAGGAGTATGAGTGGGAAGGTCATGAAATTTTCAATTTAGTTGAAGTGGTGCTTGTGATTTTGACGGGCTTAATTCGGACATGGTTTGGGCGTGTATAGATAGTAAGGATATGATGCATTAATATCATAGAATATGCCATGTAATAGATCATTTGGGTCATTTTTTCATATGAAGATATCTATTTTCTTAACAAATTGTGCGTATCCTAGTGTTGTGGATTTGGTCTCACGTAAGGAGGAGATTGGGCGCAAACGGCGTCTTGACTTCACAGAGGTCATATTAGATTAGGAATTCGCCCAATGAGCAATAAGCGCAAGGAACTCGACCAACAGTGTTCTAATTCATAGCTGTTACTACTTCTTGCTCTTCTACTCATACTTTACGTAAACACATTTCATTATCATCATACTTCGTATCCTGTCCTAATCTACTACGCTCTCACGGCCTCCCAATCCTCAACCTCCACGGTCTCGCTTCACTTCCACGCCCCTCGTTCAAGATCTTGACCTTTCCCCGAATTACGAAAGTCGTCCTATTTGAGTAAGGCACGTGCTATAGAACCATGGCAAGTATGTGGATGATGATTAACAAGTCGATGGTATCGAGATTAATCTAAAGGTATCTACGCTTTTCACTTTCTTCGATTCAACCTTACCATAATTGAAGGTTTTTTCCACTACCCCGGAAATCCTCCCCTAGCCATTTTTCTCGCTCTCCCCTCCCTACGATTATGGTTAGCTCTCGATCCCTTATTCGCTTCTTTCCTCTGTCTAGCGACGTCAGTCTCCTTATCACCACTCGTACCCGCCACGTTTCCATTGCCTCTTCCTCTTCCTCCGCCACCTCTCCCACCTCTACCCGGTCCTCTAATCTTGCCTCCTCTACCCCTATTGCCATTTCCATTCCCATCTTCCTCTCCCTCAACAGCTTTCCACGACGTACTCTCCAAACTTGTTTGTTCTCCTTTGAACGTGGCGAATCGAGTTTCAAGTCGTCGCATTTGCCTAGGGTCACGAGAAAGCATGACTGCCCACCCCTCGAGTGCTTCGTCCGTCATGCCTGTATCTTGTCTTATAGCTGCTCTTTCTTTGCTTCTACGAGTGGTTGCATCCCTAGCAAAAATGCTTGGTGACGACTTGTAGGCACGGAAGAGAGTTTCGTCATGTGCACTCTGTTGTGAGTTGTTGTCAGGGTTGGATTCTTCGGGGTTGGCAGAATCAACTGTTCCGCCGACATCGGCTACATCATATGTGTCGTCTCTTTCATCATCGTCAGAATCAAAAGCAGCAAGTGCGGAGAGAATTGCGGCTTTATTGGGAGCGGTGGAGCGATCTTGGAGCACATCATCGGCGGTTTGATCGGGGTTGCGACGTCCGAAATGCAGGCGAGATGCATCAACCGTGAGCTGGTCAAGTTCGTCATCATCAAAGATATTGCGGCGAGTAGGAAGTTGCGGGGGAGTTGAATGAGGTACTAGGTCGTTGTGACTTGAAGATGGTTCGTTGGGTAGTTCGCTATAGAAATGGTTAGAGTGGTGAGTTTGGAAGAATGAGGGCACATACAAATCCTCATGTCGATCAGCATTATTTAAACTTGGTGGAAGGGATCCGTCCAGAAGATGAGATATGACTTCCTCCGTATTATCATTATATTCTTCAAGTAATTTCACAATAAAGCCTGATCCAAGATCTGGGAACAAATCCTGAACTTGTGATATGAGACTCATCTGATGAACGTGTACACTACTATTTTCATGATCATCAGTGTCGACCAATCCCTTGCCTTTGTTAGGTTTCTTCTTGAAAAGGCGTACAGGCCTGCCGCTACCCCCAGGTTTACGAAAGCCTTGTAAAGTAGCAATCACAGACTTTGCTCTGCTCGACCCCGAGCCACTAGCATCGATTCTTTGTTGAAGTTGCTTCAACACAGGTGTTACTGTGACCAACTCTGCAACCAACGAGTCATTCACATTAGTTGGACCTTTCTTATGTGCTTCAGCCGCAGCACTCAAGGAATAAAGTCGGTCGACTAGTGATGAAAATCTTGGTTTGGGGCTTTCTGTAAGCCCAATAATACAGAGATAGATAGTAGAGATGATGATCTTTCGTAGTGGTGGATTCATGAGCTTGTAACAACTTATAAGAGCATCCACGAAATCATCCCCAGCCATGAAGAACGAAGCTGCTTCAGGAGAAGCGTGTAACAGTTGATTTAATCGTCTCAGTTGTATTTCCGAACCTTTGAGATCTCCCTTAATCCCAGCATCCAGTTCTTCTGTCAACAAGCTCTTGAGACTGCCCAGCGAGCCCTCGATTACTGAAGAGTGCTTGCTCCATACCAATGTTGTGACTTTGTTGCCCTTCTCCTTCCCATAAACTTTACATACATCTGCGAGAACTTCCCATCGCAGTAACGATTCAGGTGACTTGTCAACGCCAACCAGCCTATAGAACAGAAGATATGCTTGCTTGCGAAGTTGCTTGGTCTTTGAGGGATTGGCTAACGAGTTTTCGTCATGTGATAGAGCTGTTTCGGCAAAGTAGGATGCCAGGAAGTCCGGTAGGGATTCATCTTTTGCTGATATTCGTACGAAATCTGGAGATGGTATTGATAGATGTGCTTCAGTCAGAGATATCCAGGCATCTAAGCAAGCTTCCCACTCTCCCGGTAGCATATTTGACCTCCATGATAGTTTGGGATATGGAACTAAAGGTGGGAGAACTATTGATTTTGAAGCCATCTCTAAATTCTGCTGTAGTATCGGTAGAATGGGAAGTAATTGTGACCTCGTGAGCTAGGATGATATATTGAGGCCAAGTCAATAGGTGGAAGTAGGTCCTTGTGTGGTACACCAATGCTTTCCTCGTCTGGTCAATTAATTTGATGGAAACTTAAATAAGCTAAAATGTATTGGAAAGTTTTGGTCGTGTGGTACTTTTAAGAGATTGTGTTTGGCGAAAGGAAGAAAGTGCAATTGAAGAATTTAAATGTATCAAAATATGTACAATACATGCTCTCGCCGTTTGACTCAATATGTAGGTATATCATCAAATTACTTCTGCTGCTACTGCACTCGGCCACACTTATCAACTTGACCCACCTATCAAATCAATGATGATGGCATCTTGGATGAAAATTATATAGATGCCTTAAATTGAAGTTGCATGCCACGCAAAATATGTTAAGGCATTAATATTCGTGAGACCCCATCGATGTAGTCCTCAACCAATAGAATCCATTCGTTTAACCCTGTAATGCCAAGACTTTCTCCCACAGTTTTCGTGAATCTTCAATTTTATCTAATCTTCGCGCCAAATTTCAGAATTCTTTTTCCACGACCACCTTCATCACTTTGCCGCAACTGGAACCATCGTTCGAGTCTTGAAGGAATAACATCAATCAATAGAATCCCATTCTATCAATCCATTCAATCTATCAGCAAATATGTCTTACAACAAGGATAAGGATTTCGCCGGTGAAGGCCCAGTACGTTTCCTCCAAATACATTCAACATTCCCCCCTCGTTTGCGCGAAGTCCAGATCGCATATCGAATTGGAAATATACATTATGAAACTAACCTATCCCCCCTTTCATACAAAAACCCACAAGATCAGAATCACCCTCACCTCCAAGAAGGTTGAGTCCCTCGAGAAGGTCTGCCGTGAGCTCATCGAGCGTGCCAAGGGAAAGGATCTCCGCATCAAGGGACCAGTCCGTCTCCCAACCCAAACCTTGAAGGTTACCACCCGTAAAACCCCTTGTGGTGAAGGTTCCAAGACCTGGGATTGCTTCGAGATGAGAATCCACAAGCGTCTCATTGAGTACGTCCCTCCCGCATTCTTTACAATTGGAAATCTGGCAGAAGATCAAGAGGATTAGAGAAATCTAAAGAGAGAACAAAATACTAATTGCATAATAGTCTTAACGCCCCTACTGAGGTTGTCAAGCAAATCATCATCAACATCGAAGCTGGTGTTGAGGTTGAGGTTACCATCGCTGCATAAATTAGTTGAATGTGATGAGAAAGGGAGGAAATGATGGTGAAGAAATAGGTCGACCACTTTATGAGGGTAGACAATTGAACGCTGTTCCTCTCATTTATTGATACTCTTTATGATACTTGTGTGATACTTTGTGACTGAGATTTATACTGCCAATTTGTATTTCTGTTGATAGATCTTGACGTGTTGTGACGAATCCATCGCAGGCAGAAAATACGTAGCATGCAATCTCCTCTTCCTCGGTCTCCCTTTGAGCAACACGATGCTATGGTAAGATCACATTCGACTTTCAATTGCCTCGAAAGGATATGGCTTTCCCCTGCCCTGCCTGTCACTCCCATAGGCATCCTCATATCCACGCCTATGCACACCCCCAACTCTGTACGATATACTGAATCATTCTCCTCGGCATCATCCTCCCCATCTCAACCTCCAACCTCCAATCTCCTCAAACTCGACACTTATATCTCCATCCCCAAGCATTCCAAGACAACAAATCTCCACCACACCATATAAAAACATATCATGCTTGAAGCACAACGGCTTTGTGAAATAATAATCTATATAAATCATCAAAACCGCTAACTCTAGCCCCCCATCTTCTCCTCACCTCCTCACCTCCTCACCTCCTCACCTCCTCACCTCCTCACCTCCTCACCTCTCCAAACTCATGCTCCCATCCAACCAACCAACCAAATCAAATCAATATTATCCTCAAGTCTTCCACACTCCCCCTCCCCCGCACACCACAAACCCCCAAACCCCCAAACCCCCAAACAGATCCCCCTCCCAAGCTCCCAGGAATAGAAAATAGCGAACTAACCTCGAAGTCAAGTCAAGTCGAATCAAGTCGAATCAAATCAACTAGAAAATAGCGAACTAACCTCGAAGTCAAGTCAAGTCAAGTCAAATCAACCCTATACACACACCATCACAATACCATTACCCCCCCCCCCCCCCCCCCCCCCCCCCCCACAGAAAACCAACTAACTACAAGAGTTCGAATATCGAATGTCGAATGTCGAATGTCTCGATTTCCAACCATCTCGTCCGCAATATACATATATATGTATATATAGTTGCTTCAAGAGCACTTGCGAAAGATGCACAATCCCTTTCTCTCTCTCCGGCAAACGTGAGGTGGTAAAAGAAGGACTTCCAAAGTTCCAGATCCAGATCCAGTTCCAGCTTTCAAATCTCAACTCTTTACCACTCCTGCAATCCCGATATTGAGTTCTATTCAAACATACGCTTGATTCCTCGTATCTGAACAAGAGAGACTGATACAATCAATTGCGGATCTTGTTCGCATGGCCGAATCATACCAGCTCCTATGCCGCCTTCGATAAATATTGAACCTCGAGGTTCAGATCACTCAAGCCCCTCAATAGATCCCATCACCACATCATGTATCACACGAAACAAACTAAGACTAAAAAGTCCCCGATAATCATATCATCAATTCAGGTTGGTATCGTCATTTCTCTCTTTTATCCCTCCAAATAAAAACTACAATATGTACAATCGAAAAGTATCTCCATCCTATCATCAAGCTCACAGCACCATTTTGCACCCTCAGCCCATCTAATCTCCCCACCACGAATCGCGCGCAATATATACTTGGAGCCTAGTACCCAACAGTCGGCTCTCAACAGTATGAAATACACTCATGTTTTATCTCAGATTTCCATTCATCAATTCCTTCCACTTCATCAAGTACAATAATAGCAGAAAAAAGTTTTGTATGTTCACACCACATGTATGTACATATTGGTTGTAACCCCCAAAGAACGCCGTGAATACTCCAAAGGTTAGATCAGATCGTCATTCAGGTCAGGTCTGCGTGAGAATTTAGACCAAGCCAGCTGCTACATCAGCGGGAGAGTTTCCAAGGTATCCCCAGGATTGTTCTGCCATGTAAAGAGCTGCGGTGTTGACCTTCCAGTAATCATTGAATGTACTGAAAAGGAAAACGTTGGATGCGTTGGAAGCGAAAAGATCCTTGATAGCTGCTATGGCAGTGGTCTGAGCCTCAGGAGAGGCGACAGCCTGATCGTGAGATGTTCCAGCGGATGGCCATCCGGTCTCAGTGATAACAATGTCCATATCAGGGTTGGACAAGAGGGCTCTCAACTCGGAGATTTGGGTGCTAAGGAAGGTACCAGCAGCATCGGCGGCGGTGTTGGTATCGAAGAAAGGATGGCAATTGACGGCGCAATAATCAACATTGTCGCAAAGACTTGGGTAAAGCTTAGTGGCAGCCAAGGTGTCAACGGCTACAACCTTTCCAGGGTAGTTGGCGGCAGAAAGGATAGATTTAGCAGTAGCGACGGCACTGGCAACACCAGCAGCATCAGTCACAGCGTTGTTGACCCACTCGTTTCCAATGGAGATGGTAGTGATCAAACTCCAGTCACCATCAACAGCATCTACAATTGCTTGAGTTTCGGATGCAACCTCGGCGAAATCATATACACCAGCAAAGATCTTGAAACCATACTTCTTGGCGGCTACCAAAGTAGTGGTGACTTGATTGCAATCCGTTCCGTAGATACGGACGGTAGAGTATGTTGATGGAATTGCGGCAAAGTCTGCGTTCACTTGGTCTTGAGTCTTGCAAGCGTTATTGGCCATGTAAGGAGAGTATGCGAATCCATATCCTCCAGATGATGCAGCGACAGCTGAAGTGGATGCGGCTGCAGCAGAAGAAGTGGTGGAAGAGCTCGAAGAAACTGGGACCGGAACAACGGCAGCGCTGCTGGAAGAGCTGACAACGGGGGCAGCAGCACTAGTAGAAGTAGCGGCAACGGGGGCGTCAGCGCTAGTGTAAGCTACAGAAACTGCGACAGAGGCGGCGACAGAGACTTCTACACTTGGAACTTGAGCTGCCGGTGTGCTTACAGCATCAGCAGTAGTTTGAGTGGATGGTTGAACGGCAACAGCAGCGGCAGCTTGAACATCGGCAGCTGGAGTAGTCGTAGTGGCGGCACTCGAGGTAGCGACAGATGGGTTCGATTGATAGATGGTCGTTGGCTCGTTGTCGATATACTTGGTAGTAGTTGAAAGAGGAGTACCGTCAGTGCTAACATAGATGATGACTTCTGGAATTTCGGTAGCCGCGACGACAACGGTATCAACCACTGTAACCAAATTTCTCTTGTCATGAATAGCCCGGTGAGCATTATGGCGGTCTGTGATGTGTTAATAAGAATTGTAAGAATGGGTTGCGCCAGCGAATACATACTAAATGGTTGAGCCAAAGTCAATTGGACAAGGGAGAAACCCGCGAGGGACAGGATGGCGCTCTTCATAATGAATGTGATATTGAGAGAAAGAATGTGTTGGTTTGAAAGTCGAAATAGATTCGATCTATTGCCGGCCAGCGGTTAGTTCAAGGTCCAATGTCAAGTTGACAAAATAAACAAAAACAAGACAAGGAGGGAAACATGTATTTGTTATGAGATTATGAGAAGGACAAGACCTAAAGTATTGGAGTCAAATAAACTCCTTGGGTAGGGTAGGAAATTCCATGTTGATCTCTAGGACTCTAGGACCTTACAAGCCGCGAGAATGGCTTGGTGAAGTTTGAAAACAGGAACGAAATTAACCCACCTTGAATTTCGAGGTCGTTGGAATGTAAATGTGATCTTGAGAATGTTGTCGTCAAGAAGGCTTAGTCTCAATTGGGTATCAACGACGACAGGAATGTTGTATTTTCTTGGGAGTAATCGAAATGAGTGACTTGATCTCGAGGTTTCAAGGTATAAATGAGTGTTGGGCAAAAGCAAGCAAAAGATGCGCGGCAAATTTTGCAATTGTAGTTGTCGACTTTAGTTCTGAAAGACTTCTAGGTCCAAGAAATCAATGAAAAGGAAGGTTGTGAGATTTGACTGAATATCAAATCGTCGTTGATAGAGAGAGAGAGAGAGAGTGTGTGTGTGTGTGTGGGTGTATATGTTTGTGTGAGTGGATATTGAAGGATAGTGATGAGAACTCGAAGATCAATTCGACTTTCTGAAAAGAGATTAGAGACTTTATTAATTCTGGTGGTGGAGAATGATAATCAAATCAAAAGTAGAGGAAGGAAGCAACGATAGAGATTGTTATTATTATTATTGTGGTTGTTGGAGGAGGCTTGGTTTTGTTTACGGAAGCACCTGGGCACTTACTTGTTTTAATTTACAACTCCACTCCGCAATTCACTCTCAAGAAAGTGGAGAGTCAGATTTTTTTGGTTGCCCAGGTGGTGTTGACTGTTAAGAAGTGAAGGCCCAATCAAGTGAAGGTGAAGTACGATGTAAAAGAAAGGCAAGGAAGGGAAGAAGGAAGGAAGGAAAGAAAGAAAGGAAAGATCAAGAAATGATCAAAGTCACAGTCAAATTCTAATCCGAACCACGAACCACGAACGGTATAACGGTATAATGGTGGAGGTTGACCGGGGATGAGAGAGAGAGATATTAATTGACGATGAGATTGGACCAAAGAGGAAAGAGATGCCCCTCTATATCTATGAAGATCAAAAAGTCTAGAAGATGCGAAAGACCAACTTTCTTTTCCCCGGTCAAGGTAATTTGAGGAATAATACTGTGTGTGTGTGTGTGTATAGAGTTTGAAGAATGGAAGATATAAGATATAAGATATCAGATATAAGTTACCTAGTATATGTTATATATAATAAGTTATAACTTACAAAGACTAAAAACTAAAGTCTAAAGATTACCCAGTACCTAGCAATGATTGAAGATTGTAAAGAGTGAAGGCGGCATGATAATGACATGTATTATGATGTATGGGGTAGAAGAAAAAGAGAACATATGGGGTCTTAATTCTGATCTGGTCAAGGGAGGGCAAGGAGAAACAGAAGGAAAAGAAAAAGGTTCATCCCAACTTCTTCATCTCAAGGCTTCAAGGCTTCAAGGTCACATCTGGTCACGACCCCAAAAGGCCTCGATGAAGACTCGAAACTCAAAACTCGAAACTCAAAACTCAAGAGCTCCCTCACCACATGGAAGAACTTTTTTGACCAGTGGAAATGAAATTGAAGATCCAGAAAGTGGATGAAACCAGGATTTCTGGGTGTGACAAGTACAAACCATTTTACCACCTCTTTCCAGATTACAGTACTCGGTGTTGTTTTAAATGAATGCCGACCACAATTTAGCTAGTGTATATCACACCAAAATTTATTGAAAGTCATCTATTTCAAAATTCAATTATAATTTAATCACAAAGATTTAGAGTATAAAATTTTACCAATTTATAGAGATTTAATTGAATTTTAAAAATATTCTTTCAAATTATAATATTTTAATATGATTATTGAATTATTTAGAAAATCAAGATATTGAAAGTATAGAAATGAAAATTCGCTTATTTTCAGGCTTTGAATGCCTAAGGCCAACCATAAAAAAAGCATTATTTGAAAGAGATTTTTATTCTATTAAAAGTATTTCAATTTGATTTCAAAAACTTTGAAACTTTGATATTAGATTTATTTATTGATATTCTATATATATTCAAGATTTGAAGAATATAGTTATATTAGTTCTTTTAATATTGAATTTTGAAAATACTAAATAAGTATAGTTTTGGGTGAGGAATTCGGTTAGATTTGAGGTCGGCATTCATTTAAAACAACACCGAGTAATATATCATATATACCTAGTATCCACTTTATATATCATGGTAATATTTTCTGACACTTCTGACACTTTCTGACTGTACCGGGGCACTTACTATATTTCTGTACTCACTCACTCATACTCGAGTAGTAATCAGTACATATGAGGTAGATGGGTACAGATCCAATACATAATATTAGATTTCCTGTTCATCTCCAAATCACAAACCCCTCGGAGTCTGACCATAACTCTGATCATTCTGTTCTTCTCGACTTCTCGACTTCTCGACTTCCCGACCGTATATTCCTCTCCTTCCTCATTCGGCATTTCTACATCTCAATTTTCATCTCATCTTTTTTTTTGGTGTACCTACTACCTACTACCTACTCGTAAATTGTAATCTTATCATACCTCCCCTACCCCCGAATTGGTGAAACTTACTATTATGCAATGCGTATCCCCGAACAACAACCTTATATCATAAATTACCCAGGTACATTCCCTCAACGTTACTTGGATGTCATCAGTACTTTGTAGTTATCCAATCTCCCAATGTCGTGTGTGGCCAAGACTCAAAAGCTTAAGAGAAGTATTACCAACCCATAATATTTCACCAACCAACCTCACCAGATCTCGCATACAAAAACTTTTCGTTCGCAAAGTTACAACTTACAACTTACAACTTCCAAGTGACAACCCGTTCCAAAGAAATTGTGGAATCCGGAACCTTATCCAAACCCACCTACCTACAGAGTAGTACCTAGTACGTACCTAGTACCTACTCAAGAAATCCCAGCAATCGCCCAGGACCTACGTGGTCCTTAATCAAACGACCCCCCTTCCTACGCATTCCTGAATTCGCCCCCAAAGCACAACCTATTGGATCAATCCCTCCCACAACCCTTCACCCAGCCGCCGCACGACTAATCTCCAAATCCTGGCCGCCGGTCGGTGTAGAGCATATGTCAGGTACAGTACAGTCTGCAGAACAAGGCTGCAGCAATCCCTACCGCGGTCCTCCGATTGGATCGAGATTGGTGCTCATAAAATTGGATCTCCTTCCCTATTGTAAGACGTAACCGATGGGTGAACGAACATTGGCGATTCGAAAGAATGGCACCAGAAAATCTCCCGAGCCCGATTGCAAGATTGATTTGTGCACATGTGAATTTACCCCCCCACAGTCTTGAGTCTTGAGTCTTGATTCTTGAGTTTTCATGGTAAAATTGTTCACCTGGTTGATTTTGATGGTATGGATTGACTTGAATTGAAATACTATTCGATGGAAGAGCGTGGAAGTGAGAAGTTGAATATGTAACACGGGATATTGTATTTCATTGATGTGTATGTATATGTGTGTGTGTGTGAATATGCCATATGTACTAGCTCTTGTCAAATCGTCATAGGTGAACACTCCAGCCCACCGGACATATCCGTCGCAGCCCTAGTTCCCAGTCAAGTCCCTGGTAAACCTTCATTCATGCCCTGCCAGGCTGCCAGTCTGTAACTCCATCACTCACTCCATCACTCTGCCCTAAGTTCTAACATTCCATTATAGCGGCAATCAACAAGCCCACGAGGCGCCAGGTCTTCCTTCCAGACTTTGTTTTATCCTTTCAGGTACCATTCGAATGTCACTGGCTAGGTAGTAGGTAGTCAGTCACTGGCTCATTGATTGGTAGTATTTGGTACCTGCATACGGAGGTATTTATCATCAGCCCATTCATTCATTATTCATTATTTATTATTCATTATATTAACTCTCGGATACATCATACATCATCCATCACATTCTAGAAAAGTCAAAGAAGGAAGAACAACTTAACAAGAGAGACGGTGAACCGGATCGGATCGCAGGGAAATAAGTCTAATAAGTGGAAATTGGTAATTCGCAGAGTAGTAAGTAAGTACAGAGAGAGTCCTTCTAGAATCTAGATTCTTTTCAAAGTTCACACCCACCCTTTCTTCATCGTCGGTGAAGAAAAGATAGATGCATACGGTACATCACATCATACCTATGGATCTCTGCGACTGAATCAATAGATTTACCAACACCAACCACGCTCTGGTGTTTGAACTATCAAAACCGTCTTCATACCCTCCCTACCCTCCATTTCCATTTCCCATTTCCACTTCCCAAACCCAAACCTACTAGTCTCTCGCCCAAAATAATCCAAATTGAGCGTTTTCAAATCCCATTGAAACATCCTATACATATACTTCTTCTTCTACCTACCATCCGTTCCCAATTCACTCATGTACTAACATCCTATTGAAACTTATACATCCACCTATCTACCCCCAAAATATATCAGTTAACAAGCCTAATGAACATAGAATATCAAAATTTAGATGCATCTACGAACAATCTCATTCCCAAGGAGAAAAATCCCGCCCATAAAGTGTAATGTGCCATAATAATTCCCAAGTGAAGATATTCATTCGTAATTTCTAATTTGTATACATCGGTCTATACTCATATCAAATACACGTACCCCATTATTATACATTACAGCTCTTCAACCCTCTTCTAGCTCCCTTCACAACCCGTTCACCCAACCGCTAAACCCAATGCCCCCCTATTCATCCATCATCCATCATCTATCATGTAAAAAGAAACACCCCGCTACTAAAAATGCAGCCGAGGAAACAGTAAATTTAGGCCAGTGGCAAGGCCAACTTACTACTCGCCTTTCTAGTCAAGACTTTCGTAATAGCATGTCTAATAACGACGCCAGCCTTCTCAATCTCCTTTTTCGAGAGTCCTGTCGTGATGCATACTTTGAGAGCTGGTTGTAATTTCCACTCTTCATCTTTGCCATTGCTACCCGAGTAGACGGGCATACTTTTGAGTCTAGTGATCATTACTCCATTGGCGAGTGTCTGTATACAAGTTAGTGGATAGAACCAGTATTAAGTGATGGAATTGCTTGCCTCATCAACACATTCTTGCATGATACGTTCTTGTTCTTCGATACTTAGACGTCTGGAGTTGACAATATCTTGCTTGAGAACAAGGAGCATCACCGGGTTTTCAACGGCACTGGTGCAGTGAACCCAATCACTTCTCGGATCAAGCTGAGCCCTCATTGCCTTGATATTCTCTCTACATTGTACCAAAACCTCAGGATTAGTTTGTAGCATGTTGAGCGTTTCGCTAGCGGTAGTAGCCAACATAGCTGGTAAAGCCGCGGAGAAAGTGTAGGAAGCAGCAGTGATACGCTGATGTTCTACCACATCGTTTGAGCCTGCGCAGAATCCACCTCCGGCACAGAGAGGTCCAGCTAATGATCCAATCAACATATCAATTTGTGATGCATCCACATTCTGTGCTTCCGTAAGACCGCGACCAGTTCTACCAAGAACTCCAAAGGACCATGTCTCATCCAACATCAGGCGGAATTTGTAACGACGTTTGAGTTCAATCTAATGATTTGTTAGTTATGCACACGAGCATTAGGATGTGATTTGAGAAAATTACCAGCTTGGGCAAGTCCACGCAATCACCAACTGTTTCTGACAATCCCTCTGTAACAATAAATCTTCTGGTCAACGGTCTCTTGGCTTGTTCCTTGACTACCTTCTGCAATACCCTTTCCAAATCTTCCATATTGTTATGCTCGAAATATTTGACTGTACTTCTAGAAATCTGCAGACCCTTCCTGATTGAGTAATTGCTTGCTCGATCCGCCACAATAATATCACCTCTTTTGCAAAATGCTGGTATCACACTCGAAATCGTAGAAAATGCATGAGCATATACAATGCATCCTTCCGTTCCCAAACATGATGCAATGTCCGCTTCGGTTTTCATGTGTACATCTTGAGTGCCGTAGAATTGAGGGGGTCCGCAAGGTCCTACACCATAAGTTCGGAGAGTTTGGATGGCCTTCTCTTTGACTTGCTCGTTGCCAACGAAATTGTAGAAGTTATAAGATGCGAGGTTCGTTACCGTTCGGCCATTTGAGAGCTTAGATTTTGGTCCTGTGGGCCTTCTTTATGTTAGCACACTGCATAAGCAGAATATTGAGGAAGGGGGAGTCAAACTCACCCTACGATGATGGGCGTTTTCTCACTATCTGCCTCTTCAAAAGGAGTCATCTTTGCAACCAATGGCTCAGGTTGCCACTCGTCCACCAAGTCATCGATTTCCTGGTAATTTACTAGATCAGTTGCCATAACTTTGAC